TTGGGAGAGCGGGGTGGGGTAGGGGATAGGGGGATAACGGGAAAATGGGATAATGGGAAAATGGGATAATGGGATAACGGGATTATGGGATTATGGGATTATGGGATAATGGGATGGGATAATGGGATAACGGGATTATGGGATTATGGGATTATGGGATTATGGGATAATGGGATAATGGGATAATGGGATGATGGGATAACGGGATTATGGAATAGGATTGGGATTGGATAATGGGATGATGGGATGATGGGATAATGGGATAACGGGATATGGGATAATGGGATATGGGATAATGGGATTGGGATGGGATAATGGGATAATGGGATGGGATTGGGATTTGGATGGGATAATGGGATGATAGGATGGGATATGGAATAATGGGATGGGGGGATGGGATAACAGGATGGGATTGGGATTGGGATGGGATAATGGGATGGAGAATAATGGGATCATGGGATCATGGGATAATGGGATGGGATGGGGGATAATGGAGTAATGGGATAATGGGATAATGGTATAATGGGATTATGGGATTAGGGGATTATGGGATTGTGGGATTGGGATGGGATGATGGGATAATAGGATATGGGATATGGGATAACGGGATTGGGATGGGATGATGGGATGGGATTGGGACTGGGATGGGATAATGGGATAATGGGATTGGGATGGATGGGATGATGGGATAGGGGATGATGGGATGATGGAGTAATGGGATAATGGGATGGGATAGGATGATGGGATATGGGATAATGGGATAATGGGATAATGGGATAATGGGATATGGGATATGGGATAGGGGGATGGGATAATGGGATGGGATTGAGATTGGGATGGGATAATGGGATGATGGGATAATAGGATATGGGATATGTGATAATGGGATAATGGGATAACGGGATGGGATGATGGGATGGGATGATGGGACAATAGGATATGGGATATGGGATATGGGATAATGGGATGGGGGATAATGGGATAATGGGATAACGGGACGGGATAATGGGATGAGATCATGGGATAACAGGATCATGGGATCATGGAATAATGGGATAACGGGATAATGGGACAATGGGATAA